AAACCAATGAATTAATAGCTTTGACAAGTCTGCAGATAGACGGCAGACGAAAAACCTTTTAAAATGCCTATTTTTCTGAATGGAGACCGGCTAAGCTAACGTTGTATATGCTCCGACCGTCCACACTCACAACAACGGCCTACAGACATAAATAAACCAGCGACTGTATTCTCCATGACACAGACAGTCTGTGGTTTGTACTTGTTTAACTTTTGTCTAGTTTCTGAACAGATATGAGGAGCTGTGAGCTCTGAGGGCTAACAGCTAACGGCTGATGCTGGTTTTGTGTTTCGCATTGAAGATGACGTCACGGCTCCGCCTACACTGCGTTACTATAGTTACTGCCCCAGTTCCTAAACTGTAATGGAAACGAAGCATAAAGAGAGCCTGGCCTACCAAGGCCTAACTACCGTTCTAAGCTGTGCGAGGCACTGCAGTGGAAAAGCGCCATTAGTGGTTATAGGAAGGATGGTTACGATTTGTGTGTGCAGAGATGAACATAAAACAAAGACATGCTGGATCACATTGCAGCCAAAGTTTAGCCAACAAAGCATCCTTGTGTTGCGTGCTGCACACTGATGTCTGCTTTCTTTCTTCATGCCTGAAGTCAGCGTGGATGGGGCAGTTTTGTGTTTCTTGCAGGATCCACTTCTAACAAAAAACCACTGGTGGGGAGGGATTGCATACAATAAAGCAACAAGTCGTACTATTAAACAACAATGCCGTTTGTCATCATCAATGTAGTAGTTAACACATAGGAATCACACAAAACAAGTCCAACACAAGCTGATAGATGACTTTACTAGAAGTTGTGCCAATTATGTCACTAATAATCCCTCTTATGCATAGGATAACCTGCTATAACTTCAGTAATATTAGTGTCTAAAAGTAACATTAAGTGCTGTGATGGATGTGGCAGTTTCTTGTTTCTTGAAGGACCCACTTCTAACAAAAAATCAACTGGGGGAGGGGGGGGGGGTTTGAATACAATGAAGCAACAAGTTGTATTGTAAGGACAATGCTGTTTGTTATCATAACTCTAGAGCAGTGGTAACCAACCTTTTCAAGCCCAAGATCACTTTTTATTCCAAAATGTCAACCGAGATCTACCAATCATTTTGGAATAAAAAGTGATCTTGGGCTTGAAAAGGTTGGTTACCACTGCTCTAGAGTTATGATAACAAACAGCATTGTNTGTGTGCGTTCTCCGTTATGATCTGATCCCTCTCTCGCGTCCGGTTAAACTTCACTCGCGTTTATGTCCAAATCTATGAGATCTAGCTAGTTCTAGTTAATTATATGACTGCCTGCTTATCAAAGGACCTAAACAAAAAGCGTTGCTTGGCAATAGCGCAGCATGTTTATATGAGGGGTCAAAATCCCATGCTCATAAAATGCTCATATATTTTTTTCTCTTCATTCCCCACGCCACAAAATAAATAAATATACGAATTTTAGGAAAAAGTAACGAAGTTTGAGCAGTGTAGGTTTTATATGAACAGTTATACATATTTCAAAACGCTAAGTGTAATAACTGCAGTAGCCTCCCTGTCAGAATGACAAAGATCCTCAGTGAAGCTCAAGCCCATGTTTCTCACTACATTGTAAGTACAACTTATTAATAAGATCAGTTCAATGCAACTAATGTCGTCTTAGTGTTATTGCATGATGTTGAAATTCGTTTGCCATGAATTTAGTGATGGATTGTAAACATTTGAAATGTAACATTTAAGTGTTACAAGGTTGTTGTAAATCAGACACCGATGGTGCAGCGCCCTACTGTACCTCATTATATAGGCTTTTTTCCCTAGAATTTTTTTTTGCGCTGACCAGGGGGTACTTGGCTGAATTTTTTTTTTCAAAGGGGGTCCATTATTGAAAAAAGTTTGAGAACCACTGGGTTAGGTAATTTTGAAGAAACCAGCTCGAGTGCGC